GGGCTGCCAGGGGCCTCAGGTTCTAGGTGGTGGCGTTGGGTGGCAAGGGGACTGGATGAGTCACAAGCGTGCTGAGAGCATAAAGCTGTGTGGCTAGGTAATAGACAGGAGTCTGGCTCCCTGCTGGTTGGGCTGACTGGGTGCAAATAACACCTGCAGTCAGCATCTGCACATGCCTTTAATTGCAGTCAATTACTATTCCGTAAGATAATACTGTCCCTGACAATATTATTTTATGGCGGCATTAATTTGCTTACTGCAGTCTAATAGTGTTGCATATGTATATGGTGACTATGGCAGGGTACCGCTGGTGCCTGCCACTTTAAGTGCTGAGCCAAACAGCCACCCGGGGGTTTTAATTGACACCTGCCATTTTAGAACTCTGGCCACCTATATAAACAGAGCAGTTAGCCGCTGGCAGGCCAGGCAGAAACATTGCCTGGCTGACAGACTGTACAAAACATCTTGGAGGTAAGGGTAGGAGCTTAAGGGGATGGTTTGGAGGCTTCTGGTCCTGGGCATGACCTAAAACTTCACCCTGCCGGGAGTGGGTGGCCTGGTGGGGCTCCCAGTGGCGTGGGAGCCCTCAGGAAATACCAGGCCAGTTCCCACCCCCAGTGAAAGGTGGGTCAGGGTGCCTTAACCCCTAGCCCCCACAACACTGTGGGTACAAGGGGGCCAGGCACGGCTATGGCCACCTGATCCCCCACTGGGGAGGGAAGCCACGTGCCCCCAGTGAGGGGGCGGAGATGCGGAGCCCCAGTGAGGGGACGGCCTCAGTGATGGGGCAGAGATGAGAAGCCCCAGCAAGGGGGAAGCCAGAGGGCTGGGAGCCCAGTATGTGTGAGTGTGTATAGAGTTGCCCCGGGAGGGGCCAGGGCAAGGTTAGACCCGGTCGGGTAATTGGCTGGCCACTTCCCTGGTGAGGGTCATGGGAGAGGCCCAAAAGACGGTACGTCTGCCACCCACTGGGTGCACTAGGTAAAGCCTATGGCCGAAGGCACCCACTCCAAAAGGGAGCAAGGCAGTACAGGTTGCTGATGTGTGAAAGAGACTCTGTGAGAGGGGGTGGAGTGTGAGAGGCCCTAGTGAGAGGAGAGCAGTATGAATGTATGTGTGTCTGAGGTCTGACAATGAGGGCTAAGCTTGGTCCGGGAACATTACGTCACCAGGCTGCCATCTGCAAGGTTTGGGCTGTGATGTAGGGGAGGAACAGAGCCACAGATAGCACCCCCTGGCATCGGTGCAAGAATGGGCAGCCTCCCACCTAATTAACACCTTAATTATGTACCATGAAGGCGTGGCAGAAGAGGAGGCGGGCAGTTGGCCTAGAAACAGGTGGATGGGCCAACGACAGACTAGCCCCGAGAAAGCCCCTGTTACAGTGATGCTTTACTCTGCAGCTGATTAGTCTACTCTACAGTAAGGTGCATGTGTAGATGCAGCTCTTTCCCAACTGGATGCACAAGGAATCAGCAGAATCTCAAATCTGCCTCAACTGCTGTTGATAATGATCCTTGCCTATCCAGCAGAGGAAATTAATTTAATGTGGACTCTTTTTAAATGCTTAAGGTATTGCATTTTCATCTTAATAAAGTGAATGGGACTGAAGAAAAGAAGCCATGTCAGTGCATGTACTAGTCCTGATTACCTTTGTCAGGCCACTGCTTTGAATCTGATACCACATGAATGTGGTCTCCAGAAGGCACATCTACACAAGATGCTACACAATGGTTACTGCACATTCATTTAGTACATGTATAAGCAAGTACTAAATAAATGCGTAGTAACTGGAGTTACTGCGTAGTAGCACCAGCAAACTCCTTTTAAGTGATGCTGCTGAGCAGTAGCTTAATACTACTGCACAGTAGCATCTCAGCACAGTTTTTACCAGTATCAGGCTACTGCACAGTCAGAGTCTCATGTAGACACACCCACTGAGAACCACACAATGAATTTGAATAAACTCTCAAGAACAATGGAAATATTATCTGTGCATTTGAAATACTTCCCCTCCTTCCCAAAATCTCTGCTGCAGGCATGCAAATTCATACAACTTAGGACCCTCTGAATTTAAAGTGGAAATGCTGATCTGATGGTGTACCATAACAGCTTAGACTCTTACAACATTTCTAGGACATCAAGATTTAGGGCCTAGCCCTGACCTCCTGATTCTCACTGAAGGCAACAGGAGACTTGCCCAAGTAGGGAGTGCTCAAGGCATGACCTCTGAGTACTCTGGATGCCTCTGAGTGTTGCTGCCCCACTGTATTAATACATGAAAAAAGGACATTTTTCAGAAAGCCAGAATTGCTCCTCTGGAGCTACTGTAACAGAAGAGATTCAAGTCTCTTGGTTCAATTCAAAGCAAATTCCTGAGTTCCCATATAGCAACCAAGACCATACACAGCATCTTGGCACCAAAGGGAGGCAAGAATTAATGACAGCTCTTCAGCAGCTTGTCCAACCAAATGTTGTAGACAGTGTATTACAACACAAAGGACTGACAGATATGGTAAGTACAGGCATTTATGAAAATGAGGGCCAGTCAGAAAAAAGAATTTCCATCCTATAGAAGATCCTGACACTTGAAATTTTCTTTGAATTGAGATGGAGAAATTGCAATTTCTTGCAAAATAAAAACTCAAATGTTTGATTTAGTAACATTGAAATATTTCATTTTGATTACTTAATAAAATAATATGAATTGAAATAATAACATTTAAAATGTTTTCCTAACTGAGAGAAAATATTGAAACTAAGCTAAATATTTCAGCAGTATAGAAAAAGGAGCTTGAAATTGGAACTTATTTACTCTGACATTTTTTTCCTGCAAAAACTATAATAAAAATGACCAGTTCCTGTGAAATATTTTGGTTTTGACAAAACTACATTTTCATATGAAAAAAAATGTTTTTTTGGTCCAGCTGTAAGCAGAACATGTCTTCATCACTCCTGAGTAAAGGCCACTGTGAAAACATTAATATCAGCCTGAAGAGCAGGTTTTTCCAAACATTTGCATTATTCCAGTAATTGATTCAAGATGCACCTGCGTTCTCCTGCTTCAAAGCATTAAAAAAGACATAGTCCCTGCCCCAAGGAGCTTACAGTTGGAAAATAAAACAAAGAGAAAAAGAATGAGAGGGAGGAGCTAACAGAGGCATAGATGACCAGGAATGCAAGGGCCTGATCATGCACACTGTAAAGACACAGGGGCATGTCCTCAACTAATACAAATTCAGGTAGCTCCACTGGCTTCAAAGCACTACACCTGTTTACCCCAGTCAAGAATTGGTCCATGAGGTTTTGCACATATAATGGCACCTGCCTGAAATTACCATACAAGAATGTGATCAAGGTAATGGTGGGTCTGCAATAAATTTTCAGTGTCAGCAGTTGCTGGTGCTACTCAGGGAAATAATGCCTTCCTAGGGTGAGCAGAGGGTTCAAACTGTAGCCCTACAAATGTTATCAGATGTCAGCCTTTTGAAAAACCATTGTTTTCTCTTACAATTTTATTATTTAAAAAGAGGCATGTAGATCTTTTTTTTTTGCAAAGCATTACAGAGGAAGGAAAGAAAGGAATGTCCTCCCCTCCCTAACTGTCCCAGTTCAAGCAGTTCCATACAGCCAAATCAAAGTTTTATATCTATTCCTGGGGCTGGATCCTAAATTGGCTGCAATCCATGTAGTTTTGTTAGCTTCAGAAGAGCTATGCCAATTCATATCAGCTGAGGATCTGGCCCCTGATTTATGATGGAGGCATTGACGGCCCCTTAACTAGAGTATTGCAAATGGCAGTATTATACCAATACCATGGCACAGGATGCTCTAGCTGTCTATTACTCCCAAAGGATTTGTTTAAGGGCAAGAACCATGATGAATACAGCTTAGGTGGCTCAATTACTTAGGGACTCAATTACTTAAAACAAAGAAACTAGATGAAAAAAATGACAAAAATTCAAAATTATTTCTCTGCTGGAGGTCACATATAACAGCCCTGTCATCCATAAATCTGGAAGTCTCCAAGGCACTCTATTCCTAGAGTTGAGAGATGACAATTAATTGGTATTTTACTTACCTCATCCATGAAAATTATGCAGGAAAATCTCTAATTACTGTGTGTTACATGTATATAAGGTCAGGCTGGGCCAGTTTTTGACAGTGGTGTAAAATGGATTATTGTGTACCCACCCTGTTGGGGCCCTGATCCTACGTGAAGATCTGCTCATACCCACCCCAGAGTTCATGAGGGGGAATCCCACACAAGCTGATGAAATTGTCCACTGGTGCAAAGACCTCTGCTGGCAGAAGCCCACCCAGAACTGGAACCTAGATTCCTGGTAAAAGCAAAATGAAAGAGGGGGCACAAACTAAGGTCTGACAGAAACAGGTCTTCTGAGAGACACATGAGCAAGTTAAACCAATGATGTAGGGAATAAGCAGTTTTTAGATGTGGTTGTGAACAATGTATTAAATTCTGGAGACAAACATTTTTAAATGATTACAAATCCCACAAGATTTTTTAACAGCACAGTGATTATATCAAGATCTGCATGGAAGAGAGTCTGTGCCCACAAAAAGTAGTAGTTTCCTTTTCAGTGCTAAGTTCTGCCTGTACCTATGAATGGGGAAAGGAGGGGAAGGTAAGTGTGTGTTTGTGTGTGTGTGCGTGCATGTGCGCGTGCGCATGCATGAAAGAGAGAAAAAGGGAGAATAGATGGAAGAGGTGAATTCCTCAGTGGCTTAGAAGATTGCACTAATGTATTTTGAAGGAGGGCTCTGGGCACTGTAGTAATGACAGGGAGCCTGTCAACAGCACTGAGACTACTCTAGAGGGTATTTTCCACTTCCACCAAGTAATGAATGGCACTACCTGCAAAGGGAAGTTCAGGTCCTTACCCAGTGAAGCTATGTTTTATCAGCCATGGGGCACATCATGGTGGCATCAACTGCAGTGAGTCAGATGCTCCTGTAGAATCCCTGATAGGAAAACTCACCTAGCAATCCAGGGTTGGGAAATCTCCAGGAGTCATTATACGTTGAATACTGTGGGTGGCTGTACGGACTTCCAGAGAACTCACTCCCTGAATCAGAGACAAAGAAGAAAAGAAAAGAAAAGAAAAAGGTAACTGGGCATCAGAAACACAAGTAAGTTACATAAGTGAAAAGAAGCAACTAGATACATTCCATAGGTTAGTCAAAATGCAAAGTAAAACTTAGCCAAAGCACTAACACCTCTGTTCTCTGGAATGAAAGCTCTCTGAAGTCTATGGGTGTTCTTCGATATGGTCACTACAACAGAATCCTATAGCTAGATATTAGGTATTGCTCATAGAAATTTTGGGTCACATTATTCTAGGTGCAGGGGCCTTGCCCCTAGAATTCATTTACATCAGTATTAAGTACAAGCCACCATTCATTTGGCCACTCTGAAAGCAAGAAATTAAGACATCTCCTCAGCCAAGCTTTCAAATGTGAGAAGGCAATGGGGTAGTTAATTTTCTAGGCACTGACCACCCTTTCAGTTCTTCAAGGAAGATTATACCTCTGACTCTTTAAGTGAGCATGGACAAGCCTCATGACCTGTCTCCATTTCTGTCACCAGGACAGTAATGTTCATATCTCCTTAAGAAAGCTCTGAGATCCTACCGTGAAAGACGAAGACATCTCCAAGCATGTCGTGCTGCTCTGCATGTCACTCTGCTCCAGATTATCTCCATGTTAACTCCATCCCTCCCCACCTACTTGTTCACTCTGCTTACCATTCCTTGTTTTATAACTAAGGCTGCAAGCTTTTCAGGGCAGTATCTACCACAAAGCACCCTGATCCCTAGTGGGGGTATCTGGGACTACTACCATACTAGGAATAGTAATAAGTGTTATTATTGAAGCCCTACTTGTTCTATGATTCTAAACAATCTTTCATCAGTCATTTTTTTTCAATCCTCTCTCACGCATGCACACATGTGTGCGTGCACACACACACACACACACACACACACACACACACACTACTTTCTGCATGTATGTATATACAGGCAAGTACATAAAAAAGTTAAGATCACTACCCAGTTGACAATGACCAGATGATGCTGAAATTAACCCTTGCCAGTCCTACCCCTTTACTTATCCTGTTGTCCAGTTACTCTGCACAGTGACCCTACTGAAGGCTGGCACATTGACTTTAACTTGAACTAGCTTGAGCCACAGGTTTATACTTTATCTACCAGGTGGGTTTTCCTCACCAGACTAGAAAATAATGCCAGGCACTTTGTGCATGATTTCCATCTATTCATGAAATAACACAACTTGCACAAGATTTCATCTGGTCTTCAGCATAAGACGATCTATACAAGTGTCCCTCCAACAGTAGATATAATTAGGGGTCTACCCAACTCAAGGAGGTAGACGGCCAATTTCATGGGGAGATCTCACGGCTAGCTGCAATTTTTTCTGGCTGATCACAGCAGGTGCCCCCCTGCCATGCTTCTGATTGGCCAAGGGGCCCTGGTGGCTCCACCCCTCACCACTAATAGGCCACAAAGGCTGCCAATTGATGGAGAGGGGCAGGGCCACACAACAGGCAGCCCTCTCAGCCAATCAGCAGAGAGGGGTGGGGGCAACAGTCATCTTGCAGGCAGCAGTCATCTTATCATATTTGCATGATAATTTCAACCCTTGTACAATGTATGATCAATAATAGCAAAAGTGTTCAAAATGTACAATAATTTTGAGGCAGCTAATTGATGCAGCACATACAAAACCCAAGTCACTCTCAGGGAGTCTAAACCAACTTTTGGGTTTGCTATCAGCATTTTCTTATGACTGCCTGCCTCAAAATAAACAAATGCTTCAACTCAGAGGACCCAGTTCTCACTCACTCACTGAAAGTTATAGTGAGCAATATAAAGTAAATAAGAACAAGACGTATTTGCATACTTATGTCACAACCCAAAAGGTGTGATTTTTATTTGTGTGTGCTTCGGCACTGCTAAATTGTCCCCGCTAAATTGCAGCTTCCTTGCACAGTGGAGTTTTCTGCTGCAGAGGAGAACCCCGGTGCAAGGGAGAATTTCCCGCCAATTTGGAGCTTGTTTTGCAGGGTGCATTTCTTTGCTGCAGAGAGGAGCTGCTCGTTGCAAAGAGTTCCCACCATTGGTATGCTAATTCGAGTCCCATTATTGGCCAGTTCTAAAT